GGGGGGGGGGGGGGGGGGGGCGGGTTGGGGGGGGGGGCCCCGGCGGGGGGGGCGCTCCCCCGCCAGCAGCAGCACAGAAGTAAGGGTGGCAATACCGCGACCCTCCTAAAATGACCCTGTGACCTCCCTGCAACTCCCTATTGGGTCAGGACCCCCAATTTGAGAAACGCTGGTCTCCCCTGTGAAATCTGTATCGTGTAGGCTAAAAGCACACAAAAGAACAGATTTCATGGGGGGAGACCAGATTTCATGGTCCGTGACGCATTTTTCATGGCCGTGAATTTGGTAGGGCCCTAATTATGGTACAGATTTGTGGCAGACCTTGCCAACACTTATGCATGTCAATAAATGTATCCATGTGAGAAGTTTCACTGAAGTCAAATAAAGTTAAACACTTGAAACTTTAGATAGATATAGGTTTAAACAATATCTCCTGTATAGGATCATTTACAAAGATATAAAGAACAAAGATATTATCTCAACTAATCATAAATTATTTATTTCAGAAAACTTTTCAAGTAAAATGTCAAAAGCTGACATACAACTTTAAATATCAAAACCTGATTTATACAGTTTAATATGTGAAATCCTCTTTACCCTTGCAAATGATATAATTCATTGTGTGTATTTTGAAAAAGTTTATAAGTGATTATTTTGGACCAGAGTTAAGACTGTTGTTAGGAATGAGTATGGTGAGTTTTCAATTGTCAGTACTGTCATTAACTGAATTTTGGAACTGTAAGAGTAATAGCATATTTATGTAATTTACTTTAAGTGATAGTTGTGATAGTTTCCATAATTTGTAATGTTTATTTTCTGTTGTTGTAATGTTCTTCTTGTCCTCTTATCTTGTATAAGGTTTATATCATTTACTTTTCAATCTTAACTGAAAATCAGCTGTTTTTGGGGGGCGGGGAGGTTTGTGCCATTATATTGTATGTTGATTTTACAAAATAAGCATGACATTGTTTTTTAGTTTGCAGGTGATTAATTTGTTGGTTACTGCTTTGGAAAATCCAGTGAAACAAATTGAGGAAAATACTGAACAAAAGGTAGTACTAATTGTCTTTAAATAAATGCCCTTCTGCAGATTTTATTGAAAGAATTAATTGTGCATTTCTAGTTGTGCTCTGTTCACCTTGATGTCTAAAAAGGAGAAATTCCTTCCACAGTTCTTGCTTGCGAAAGCCCAGAGAAAAAAAGACTATGTACGTAATGAGTTCTTTTCTCTATGAAAAATAGTGACTGTGCTACAAATTCTTAAGTAAGTCATTTGGACTGTATTCTAGCAAGCTTTGAATATGTTCTATAGTAGTTAAGATAATGCCTCCCAGAACTGACTGACCGCATTGGGAGGGTAATTGTCTGCTGCCCCCCTTAAAGGGGTGGTACAGATTGCTTTCCCCCGTACAACTGAGACACTCCATGAGGTAATGCCATGGTGCAGCTCCATGCTACTCCCAACACAAAGCTGTGGCTAAATGCTATAGTTTGCCCCTGAATAATGAATACTTCAAAATCGTTATACTTACATTTTTGGATGCATTTCTACTCTTAAATATAACTTTCTTTTGGTCTTGGATAGGAAACAGACAGAGCCATATGTGCAGCTAGTATTCTCCACCAAGCTGATCAGGCTTTCAGACGAATTGTCTCTCAAACAATGAAGGATGTGAGAGGTATGCATGGCATATTCTAATTGCCATTCTCCAGGGGTATATAGCTCAACTGGTAACTAACATAAGGCTAAAACTGAAATACTCGTACACTGAAATAGTATAATATTAGACCCTAGGGTCCTGCAAGTAAAACTCATGTGAAACTTGACTCTCATGAGAAGTCGCACTGAAGTTAAGTGTTTGCAGGATCTGGGCCTAGGTCTTTGAAACTTAGCAGACATCTGAAGATAAAACTATAGTTTTATTTTTCTTTTAGATAAAAATATACTTCCAAGTGAGATGAAGATTCTGGCAGAAGAACTTAATAAGCTTAAAGCAGAATTCTTGGAAGATTTACGACAAGGGACTCATCCAAAAAATCAATTTTGTCTGCCAAGCAGTGAATTTGTTACAAATGTCATTACTTCATTCCAACAAGCGACAGACAATGTAGTGAAGAAGGGTTTTGTTTTAAATGAGCACACTGTGTTTTCAGTGCAAGGAATGCCAAAAACGTGATAGTTTTAGCCATCCTGCTGAATACGTTATCTGAGGAAGCCAAGCTGCCATGTGTGGAGGTTTATGTTAATTTATAATTTCATTTCTGTCACAATGTTATGAAACAAAACAAAAACAAAAAAACTCAGGTGTTTCATCTTTAAGACCAGGCCAACAATAGGAAGAAATGAGTTTTGAAGATGAAAGAGATTTTGGCACTGTAGTCCCCTAATCGGTGTCTCTTAAAACATCTTTGGTGCAAATCTTTGAACTCCTTCTCTGGCTCCTCCATCCCTAATGTTCTTCGTCCTTGCTTCTATATTTCCTAGATTTCCCATGTATCCATCTCTCTGTTCCTTTCCCATCTCAGATTAGCCCAGTTTTCCTTTTTTTTCAATGTCATTTTCCCTTTTCCCATAGAACAAATAATAGAAGCAAAGAATTCTCAAATCTTCCTCCCAATCCTTTGTTCTTCCAAAGTATTTATAGCTAGGCAACAAAGATGTACATAGGTAGAAAAGCTCTGGTCTCAAATGTTGTTTGCTCTCAGTAATTAACCTCCTCCTACATTATTAAAGTCATCATTCCTATTGGGACAGTCAGGGAATCACATGTCGTCATACTGCATAACAATAGAGTGAATCATAGCATGTGTAAGAAATTATAGGAAATTATAAATTGTCTTATTTAATAGTCAGTACAAACAGTATTACATTAACTGGTTAATGTCTGCATGATGCTATTTAACATGTAAAGTGCTAGGTAATATTAATAAAGAGATTAGAATATCTTTGTTGTATCCTTTGACTTTTCTCTTCCACAGCTGTTGTTTGTCATAGTAATGTGGGTAACTGATTGCACCTGCTGGGCCTTTCTTTCTAAGCAACACACGGTTAATGTGTATCATATCTGCATGATCTCTACTCTGCAATATTTGGCAACAGAGATCAAATCAAACCTACAGCAATGCATTTTCTAGACTTGACACTTACACTGTGTGGAGAGAAAAATGGTATTCTCTCGCTCCCTGAAAAACAGACAGTGCCGGGCTACTTTAGGTAACTAATAATAAAGGCAATAAAGTGTTTAATACTAAGCCAGGCAAGATTCAGGTTCTGTAACTAAAAGTTTTCCTGCTGCTTATGCTAGTGTAAGCTTTCTCTAGCACTATGCTCTTATCCACTTGAATCAGAACAGTAATAGGAAAAAAAACTTCTGCTGCAGTTAGAGCACACAACTGGCAGCTGGGAGACTTTTAGTTCTAATCCTTACCCAAATCAGGGATTTGAACCTGATTTTTCTACATCTCAGGTGAATGCCCTAACTACCAGGCTACAGAGTCAGTGTCTTTTTTTGGTCCCCCAAATAAATATTTATACAAAATGGAAGAGTTTCAACAGGCGAGATTGACCCACCCCAGAATAGCCTTGTGGTTAGAGCACTCCCTTGGGAGGTACAACATGTGGATTCAAGTCTCTCCTCCAACCGTAGCAGAGCAGGGAATTGACTCTAGGTCTCTCACATCCCAGGTCAGTGCATTAATCAATGGGCAATGCATTGTTCAGAGATAGGCTGGGGGAGATAAGCGTGCTCATCCTCAGCTGTTTTTTTGTCCAACTTGGTAGATGTGCACTGGGGAGATGGGCAGGGGAACGCCTAGTTTTGAGAATTTTGCTGGGGTTAGGCATGAGCAAGGGCTCTGAGGAGTTTGTTAACTCTGGGGCATTATCAGGCCAGACAATGTTCTACACGCCTATCCTGTGACAGGGTGAATCTCTGGTGCAAGGTCAGTAAAACTAGACTTCAGCAAAAGCACCAGGAATGACCATCCCTACCAGCAAATAGCTAAGAAGCTGGCAGCTGTACAAGACAGGGATCAGTGCAGGGAGTGTATTAAGAGGCTGAAGAGAAAGTACCGGAAGATCAGGGTTAAGAAATGCACCTTGGGCCACTCACCAGTGGCCCAACAGCAAGCTCATTTTACGATGACTTTTACTGGATTCTGGGCACTGTGCCCAGCATGGAGCCAATTGTGCTTCATGACCACCTGGTCAGCTGGGATGGTGCCCTGTTGGCACGGGGACTGATGGGAACCAGCAGCAGGATCCCAGCGAGAAGCATGAAGTGACTTTTATTGAAACCAGTCAGAGCAGGCTGTGGATCACGATCAATAGCAAATTCTTGGCCCCTATTCAGAAGAGCTGTTTGATTTCCCCACCCCTGGAACAGCCGGCTGCTGAGTCTTCAGCAAACCTAGTGGAGACAGAAGCTGCCCCAGAGCCCGGTAAGTGTCTGACTCAAATTTACAGTTTATTATTAAAGTAATGGGAAGGATTTCTGCTCTGAGTAGCAATGCAAAAATTATGAGCCCCAGCTACCAGCATGTGACCTCTAACGATGGATTGTATCACAGCGCCTTGGCGTCCCCCCTTCCCCTGCCCCCCCCCCCAACACTGAGTTCAAAATGGTGACTTGGAATTTCAAACATTCATAAACAGCTGTAAAGATTATTTTAACTGTAAAGTCACAGTCTGCTAGGGTCATTCTTGTTTTCCTTTCAATAATAAGACATTTGCCACTCTGTAATCACTCCTCCTGGGTCTATGGAGCATCTTGTAAACAGTGAACTGAGTGTGCATGTGTTTGGGAAACAGTATTCTATCTCCAAATCTAGTCCATTTCAATTACAGGTACTCCGTGCAGGCTG